AGGAAAAGGATCAATTCAGACAAACTCTGAAATGACACATGGAGTGACACTCATAGACCTCAACCGAATGGCCAGAAACATCCCTGCATTCACACCAGAACTGGCAGGAGACCACGACGTCCACGCCTACCTGCGAGACATTGACTTTTACCTGCAGTCTTGGACCAGTGTGAGCCACCACGATAGACTCTATCTGCTCTGGATCACCTCTAGCCCAGAGGTACGACGCTTCATGGCTCGACAGCCAGGACACATCCAATCAGACTACCAGCGGCTTAAACAAGCCATCATAAAGGATTTCTCAGACCCAGACTCCGAACACGGACTGATCGCTGCCCTAGACACCAAACAGTGCCGTCATGAAACTCCCCATGCTTACTACCACAGACTTCGATGAGCTTACTTCGGAGCTCGCAATGAACCTGGGATGGAGGACGACACCAGCTTCAAGAGCCTTTTCCTCTGAAACCTCCACCCTATTGTAACAACTGCGTGACCTGACACAAAAGGCCTATAACAAGCACAAGGCCTCCACCAAAGGTGTTTGTAAGACCCCACTGATTCTGAACTGCACAACCCAGAATCCAAAGCAGGAACCCAGCAATGCCACAATTCAAGGCCCTGCTACAGAAAGCCACTAGCCAGCGGGGGACAGAGTCGTCACCATGGCAACAGACCCAAGTCTCAGACCAACCACTGGCAGAAACCATGGAAAAGGGCATCCTCATCCTGCGAACACCACAGTATGTCCAACAGCAGTCCACCACAACATCCTCCTCCACACAGGTGCCAAACGGATGCTGCACAAGGACAGCTGGACACACCCTCTTCTGAGTTACAGGAGCTGCTGACACTAGCAAAAGAGCTCCTTGAACAAAACTCAACTGAGGGGTACTGGGAAGGACAAACTTCTGACTCCTTGCCTGATGCAACACAGCATCAGACCACTCCAAGGGAGAAGCATCCCTTAAAACCAGTCGACAGCCCAGAAGCAGTGCCCACATGCCCCACAGCGAAACCTCTACCAACACAACTCAGGCAAGCTCAAGTCAGTGGCACCACAAGAGAAAAGCGATGCCACAAACATCAGATTTCTAGTGTCGTTCGAGCTACACAGAGGGCTAACAACCACCTGCTGCCCTCCTGCCACCATCACTAGGTCAGTCTAAAAATCTCTTCACACTACAACATACAAATTTCCTGCGACCCCCGGAACCACCTGCACTCTCACCAGTGAGAGTCCAACCCAGCTGTTCCAAACCACAGGTACCATGGATAGCCTACTGGCTAACAACACCTACAAACAACCATCTGACTCAGACCAACTCACTTCAGGATGACTGGTGATACTGCCTTGGCACCTGCTGCACAAGCTTGAGCACCCACACCTTGCTACAGCTTACATCACCACAGCACATTACCTGACAACATCCACCATGGAACCACAACCACTCCAGGAGGCAACCAGCAGCCCGAGAGCCACCACTGTCTCCTGACCATGAGTGGCAGGTGCGTGTCTGATTGTTCTGCACCTTTGACGTCGCTCGCTGTTGTCTGTTGGATGGACAACAACGTTCTCCAGAGCCGGAGGGATGAACCAGCGAGGCTTCAGCCAAACAGGAACCCTGGCGGAAGGCCAAGGTGGGACAGGAGGAACGGACCAGCGAGGCTCCAGCAGTTCAGGAATCCTGGCTGAGAGCCAGGGTGGGACCGGAGGAACGGACCAGAGAGGCTCCTGCGGTCTTGGAGTCCTGGCTGAAAACCAGGGTGGAGCCGACTGGGCAGGCAGCAAGGGCGGTGCCTGCATCAAAGACAGAGCCGACATCAAGGATGGAGCTGGCAGGGCAAGGAGCTTGAGTGGTTCTGGCAGGCCAAGGGACTTAGGTGGTGCTGGCAGGGCGAGGAGCTTGGGAGGCGCTGGCAGGGCAAGACACATGGACGGAGCCACCATCAAGGGTAGAGCCAGCAGGGCAAGAAGTTTGGGCGGATCTGGGATGGCTTGAATGATGGAAGAAGCCTTCTTCCTCATCCTCCGTTTCCGAGAGTGTGGCACTGTAGCTTCATCGGCCACCTCCGGGGGCACTGCAACCTCTTTGGCCACCACTGGGGCGCTGCAGCTTCGTCAGCCACCTCTGGGGGCGCTGCAGCCTCTTCGGCCGCCACTGTGGGCGCTGCAGTCTCTTCAGTCACCACCGGGGGTGCTGCAGCCTCTTTGGCCGGCACTTCTGGAGGCGTTGCAGCATCATCAGCTGTCACAGGGGGGCGCTGCAGCCTCTTTAGCTGGGGGACATGCCAGGAACTCCACAAATCCCCCGAACGTCAGGTGGTCCAGCCCCCTCATTCTTCCCCAATTGAGGGCTCATCGAGGGCATTATTAAACAAGTCCTTGAGAGCCACATCATTGAACCCCAAGCCCTCTGCTGCACTGCTGAACTCAAGGTTCAACAAACGTCCTCAGGTCAGTCCCCTGTTGCAGGAGGGAGCTCAAGCCCTTGAAACGGAGAATGCATTCGTAGAGGGGGCTGGAGAGAGTGGAGACAGGCGGATGGCGCAAGCCCTTCCTCCGCTGAGTCCTCATCGTGGCCAGTTGGTTCTGTCAGGGATGGGGTGAAGGATGGAGCGAGGACTCAATGGTAAGGCAAGACAGGACAAGGCAGGAAACCACAAGGGTAAATACGACGACGAACTGGCACAGGACTGCAAACATGAGAATAAATAGGGAGAGAGCAAAATCAGACAATAGTGTTATAGTCAGACAATGTAAGTAACTTAAAATTAACTTCTTGTTTATTGAATTGTATTGTATTAAATCAGTTATCACATTTACAAACTCCCTTAAAAATCATTCAAAGCTGTCACTCATCATCTTAGTTCATCGCGAGCTCACATTTATAATCAACGAAGCTCTCTACACTGTGTGATGAATCTCTTATTTACACCCTGTCTACACTTTGCTTATGAAGGATTGGTGAGATATGTCTGATACATTACTCGACGCTGCAAAAACACGTAGAAATCTTTGAAGCTTCCCTGAGCGCAATCACAAGTATGATGATGATCGGGTCAGTCGCACTGGTGCTCCTAAAATAAATGTCATAGTCGCACGCAGTAGTTTTCAGTCGCAAATGCGACTGAAATGGTCGCACTGTCGAGCCCTGCATAAGGAGAATAAATAGGGAGCAAATGAGGAGGGTAATAAGGGAAACACAGGTGGGGCAAATTAACCAATAATCAGGTAACAAGATGGGTGGGGTTAGACAATTGACATGAGAGCCCATGGCACACAGGAAACTAAGACAAAAGCCATGTGCTCACGCAAAACAAAAACACAAGCACATGGCCAGCAAAACAGTCAAAAGCCACGTGCTTGAACAAAACAAGACATGAACATGCAGCTAATGAGAAGCCGCATGTTCACACAAGACATGACATGACAAAGCATGCAGCCAATGAACAACACAAACTGTGAGCTACACAGCACAAGACGTAACATGAAAGCACGCAGCCAAAAACACGAGCTGCGTGCAACAACACAAGACACGAGAACAGAAGAGCGTATGGCCCAAGCGAACTTGAGACCGCACTCTCCCACAACAAAACAGTACATGTAGCGCGAGTGTCCGAACCCCGACACCAAACCCAAACTGAATCTGAACAAGACATGAGTGCCGGGATCCGAACACCACGCTCCAACATGAAACAAGGCATACAGACAAGAGAGCGCACTCGAGCACACTCGAAGCCACGCGCTCACATAAAAGCATGATATGATGGGAGTGTCAGGGCTCTGTCACAAAACCATGAATAAACCAGACCGAAGTGACAGAACCCTGACACCTTGGGCCACATTTACAAAACTAGTGCATCCTTTGTATAATGTTTTAACAGCTTTTAAAAAATACTTGTAATGCAAATTAAAAATTTACTTAAAAATGCAATAATTTTAAACAAAAAAATCATGTTCTAAAGTGTTGAAAGCCTTAGGGAAATCAACAAATAATATAAGACTATTATCTAATATGTACTCATTAGTAACAATATTAGATTGATTTTAGACATGGTGGATTATAATATGTCATCCTTGAATAAATCCAGTCTGTTCTTCATCAATAATGTCATCTAAACCATGTTTCAATCTTTTAGCAAATATATGTGCAAAAACCTTGGCATCATTATTTAAAAGACTAATAGGCCTCCAGTTGTCTTAAGTGAAGAGTATATTTTTGTGGTTTTGGAATTAGAGTAATAACACCTTGTTTTAATGAGTCTGGCAACTCTCCTTTATCGATAGATTCTTTATATACTGCAAAATTTTTCCCTGAAGACTTTATCAAATTAATTTAGAAGTCTGTCATTACCTGGAGATCGATTATCATTTAGATACCCAAAAACATTCTTTAATTTCCTCCAGTTTTATTACATTTACATTTAGCAGACGCTTTTATCCAAAGCGACTTACAAATGAGGACAATAAAAGCAGTCAAAACTAACAAAAGAGCAACAATATATAAGTGCAAATGACAAGTTATAGTACACACACACACACACAAAGAAAAACAAGTAGATAGAATAGAAAAAATAGAAAGCTATTTTTTGTTTTTTGTTGTTTTTTTAAATAAAGAAAAAAAAAGATAAATAGATAAAGTAGAATTAAAATAGAATAGAAAGTGCTAGAGTTAGAGGGTCAAATAAAGGTGGAACAGATGTGTTTTTAGTCGTTTCTTGAAGATGGTCAAGGACTCAGCTGCTCGGCTTGAGTTGGGCAGGTCATTCCACCAGGAGGGAACAGTTAATGATTTTGTGCCTCTTTTAGATGGCACAATAATACACCGTTCACTTGCAGAACGCAAGCTTCTAGAGGGCACATTATTAATTATCTCTATCTATATGAAGGAATTATCTCTTCGTCACAAAAAAAATTTGAGATCCTTACTAATAGTTTTTACTTTCCCCAAACCGTTCAGAAATGTATCCAGATCAGAATTAACTGAATTAAAGTTGTAGAGATATTTATAAAATTGAGTGACATATTGGGATATTGTCACGGTCCAGGTGTGTGGAGGCAGGCAGGATGACGAGGATATTTAATGTAGAGACAACAAGGCAGATGACACACACACACACACACACATACCTACTTAACCCCCCAATGAGGACCTATGACTGAACACCCTACCTTTGGGTACACCCCTTTCTGAAGGGTCTAGAGACAAAAGAAAGATAAAACTGCACTACAGATGAAGACTTCAGTACAAATATCACTTGATATTTTCAATTAAAACCTTATTTACAGACCTGACATTTTGCCTTCATTTTGGGGACAGTATTTTTTATGTCCAATTTGGGGACAAACACAAACTCTGATCAAGTGAAACTTTGAGGACTATAGTGATACAC